ACAAGAAACAAAGTACTTACCCAATCTTTTTTTTCTTGCTCTCAATTGTCACTGATAGTTAAGCCTACTTTTTTATACTAATGGTAGTAACACACCAAAGAACATATACTAATAACATGCAAAAAGTAGACAATATCCCCTAACTCTCAGAATTTTTCTGGATTTCTAACTATGCAAGAAGAACCATTACAAATTCATCCAAGTTAGTGCTTGCATTTTCCCCATGGGAAAATATTTGCACTCTGAATGAAATTTACGATTATCTGTTCAGAAGACAACGTAATACAATACATCATTTGATAGATGAAAATCTTGGCTTTCTACTGGTTATAGGTAATAGATAATTAAATGTAATAAAGAACTATTAAAAAATCCTGAAAGAGACGATGTGACAGGTGGGTGTGGCAGTAAGGGTCTGATTTTCTATTTGATAGCTCTGTAACCAAACAAAATTGAAGGCTGTAAAAATTATGGTTTTTCTGCACAATGACAATTTTATAGTGAGTAATTTACATTACATTTCGCACATATTCAGGTGGTGATGGATAAAATAGAGAAAAGAACATACCTAGAGAAAATGTCACACTAGGGGAAATTCAGTATTTTTTAAATATTGCCTTATAGAATTAAGAACTTAAAATTTATACCTGTGACGAAAGGGTTAATATCAAAAACAGATACACTGAAAATGGAGTAAAAACCAAAATCTTGCTGTCAGATTTTGGTTTTTCTTATCAACCATTGAGAAACTCACAGTTATATTAAAAGAATTGTTATCCTCAGACTGTATACAATAAATATGTGAAACAAATTGTTATCCTCAGACAACACAATGAACATATTAACCTGTTACCCTCTGTCACTATACAATAAATATATTAAACTGTTATTCTCACATTCTAAACAATATATAGTTCAAAACAAAGTAATAACAAAAAGATGAATGTATAGCTACTTATTAACTTGTTTTTATGTTATTTTAGTTACGTTAAGCCATCATACATCTTCAGCAGCCTTCCAACACACAGCCTTCCATACATCCCGGCTGTTAAGATTTCCTTCAAGTGGTTGTATTTGAATCCCATCATGAATAATTTTTTCATAGTTTGGATCATGCTGTAGTCGCCAGCCATCTAATGCAGCAGCCAGCCACATATATCCACAATTCTCAGCTAGTTGCTGAGCCTACAAATAATAAATAAATAATCAATAATCTGTTCACATTCTTCTCCTAATGAATACTTGAACAGTATTATTTTAATTAAAAGTTTTACCTTTCAACAAATTACACATGTAATAACAAAAGCCAATATGCAAGACTTCTATATACTGTAAAACAGTATAGAGTATAGAACATGCTGTATCCTAGAATGGGTTTTCCTAATTGTAATACAGCACATATGAAAGTTTACAGTTCAAACATATTTGTTACTTTTAAAACCACTACTGAGTTCTCACACATGCAGGTTAAAAAAACATGATTTTACTACAAAATATTTATGCAGAAAATTTCAGAATATTTGAAGCTTTTTTTTTAAAAACAAATAGAGTATAGAATTTTTAGAATATATTTATAAAGAAGGAATGCAGCCCACCAACAAAAATGCAAACTCACCATATCCAACTGACCGGCTCGAACATGTGCAAACATACATTTCAAAAGCCTGTCTTCATCTTCCTGTTACAGAAATACATAACAAGTATACAAATGTTTATATATTCATATAAAGTATTATAAATAATAATACCAAGCAAAATGTAGAATTTATTTATTTATTTGTTTAGCTGTAAATATTTTTTTTATTTAGTTTGACAAATTTTTTCTACAAATTATAAAATTTAAATTTTCATTCATTTATAAATGGCACTATCTGCAGGTTTGCTTATCCCAATTGTTTAGTGTCTTATATGCATGTCAGCCTTTTAGCTTAGTTCTTTCTGAGTAGCTATACATTCAATGAGTCCACTTCAAGTTTATATTTACCTTAATGTTCTGGAGATAACATTAACATCTGTACTTAAAGCTACGTCATTTGGCAAGATCTCACCTGGATTTTTATGTATATCACATAGAGTATGCCCAAAGTTATAACTCACAAAAAGTTCCAGTTTTATATCTTGGTTTCATTTATTATCAATGCTACTACTCTCATGTACTTTTCTCAGTTTTCATACAGCTCTTACTGAAACACTGCCTCGGTATGTTGCACAGAGTATCCTTCATTAACCAGAACTTTGATTTCTACACAATTGTCATTTGACATTTCTGTCCTGCAAGCCATGTGTGCACCACCACACTACTGCCAAGAATAGTATGAATGACTGTTCTTTTATAGACCTTAAATGTTGTGGCCTCACTTGATTGGTTGGATGATAGCCAATCATAATGTAAACTATGGACAAGTGATTATACTCTTGAGTAATTCATTTCCTTGCAAGAGAGTGGAGAGAAATGCTATAACACTTGCATTTTTATCCATTTTATGAAAATTCCATATTTCTTTCCAATACCATGAAATGCTCTCATATTCAAGATAATTAAACCATCAACTTGAGAAACAATGTTAAGTAAGAGATCATATCTATAGTATTATGTAAAAGTTTTAAGCCAGTTTGCTTAAATATTCCTAATGGAATGAAATATGATTTTGAACAAAATGTAGAATTTAAAAGTATATGCAATGAACAGATACATCAGTTTTAGTCTTGCTGTTTTTAACTTTATTAATAACAAAGTTGCTTACATATAAAATTTCCTATTGTTGTGTATTGTAAAATACTGATGACTTTATATTCTTATGTTCAGAACAGTTAAACACTGAAATGTCTAGAATTTCAAGAGACAACTAACTTAGCATTTGGTTTCAATATAGCCAGTATGATAATGCTCATAAAATGTGATATGCAATCCAACAACTGACTAAGAAATACAGAGAGATTGCTTCAATAGCAGAATTGAAAAGGTGTAAACAACCAAAAGCATTCACTGAACGAAGTAAACATTACCAAAAAATTCTTTAAGGAACCGAAAAACATCTAGCCAGAAATTAACATAAGAACTAGCAGAATCATCAGGAGTACATGTCCATTCTTCCACTGTATGAAGCTTTTCAGTGAAAAGTGATTTAAATGGACAAGTGACTATTAAAAACCTTTCTTACATAAAGGTAAAGATATTAAAATAGGTCAAACATAAAGAATGAATCCAAGAGCAATAGAAACAAGTCTTTTAGACTGTTGAGGTCTAACCTGAAATATCTGAGTTTAAAAAAGGCAATATATAAGAATAAGAATAAAAGGATGTATGCTTAAAACCAACTATGAAGCATGCTGGTGGGTCCATTCAGATGTAGGATTACATTTCAGTAACTGGAATGGGAGATCTGATGGGAATCAATGGATATAAGAAGATACTAATATATCACATTCTGTTTTTCTGAAAAATAACTGTTACATGATGGGTTCATTTTACAGCATAATAATACTCTCAAAATATAACAAATGAAGTCAAACTGCACTTGCACTGCTAAAAGAAAAGTGAGTCATGGACATCATGAAGTGGCTTACACATATTCTATATCTCAAAATTCTTGAAGCAGCATGGGACCATTTAGATAGAGAAAAGAATAAAAAGCAACCAGTCTCTAAAGATGATCTTCCTTTCGTTGACTGGTTGTTTGGCATTTTATGACACAAAACAACTAGGCTGTCTGTGCCAAACAACCAGTAAAAAAAAGCCACAAGAAAAATACAATACAATGAAAAAAAGAAAATAAGTTAAAAACTAAACAATGCTCAAAAATTAGGCAAAGATCTAAGTAGAAGTGAATAGGTCAATGGCCTACAAAAAGCTGAAAACACAATCAAATTGGACAATGTCATCATCTCCAATGACACCATCCTACATCAGAGGTAAACCCTTAGAAAATACATGTCTAAAATGGTGCCACCGCTCACATTTGTAACAACGGCACAAAAGTTACACATTGGTCATTGTGACCTGAGTGTCACAATGACCAAACGTTAGTGGATCAGTCAAAAAACTGTGACCAATGCATGGCATAGCCAAGACAACTTCCTCTCATTGATTGTTATGGAAATTAGACAGTCAAACAACAACAGTAGGTTTGATCTGAAAAAGCTTGTTATGAAGTTGCTCACACCAAATCGATTCCAACTGGCAAAAAGTTGGGCCTTGATCACAGGACCATAGTTCATATACGGGACAGATACAGCTGGACAGTGCCAGAGCAGATAGACTTAGCTGCACTGTCAGCATGCTTGTTCCGTGGAATACCAATATGGCCAGCTATCCAGAAAAACTGGATGGGAATGGATGACAGAGAAAACTGAGCCAATTGTTTCTGAATGTCTAAGAGAACAGAGTGAGAACTTACATTAAGTGATTCCAAGGCCAGAAAAGAGTCCGTGTAATAAATTGTACAGTTAGTGTACTGCTTAGCTTCTATGTGATCCAGAGCAAGAGAAATGGCATACGACTCAGCAATGAACACGGAAACTGTAGAGGGGATACTGTGAACAACCACCGAGCCACAAAAAACCATGGCAGAGCCCACGGTATCAACCGATTTTGAACCATCCGTAAAAACTGGAACAGAAGAATGGTTTGAAAGATGTTCGGCAAACAGAATATAGTACTTCCTCAGATGACTCAAAGAAAGGTCACAGGTGAGGATGATAATGAGCCATAGCAGAATGGGCTGATCATCAGACTCAGCAATATCATCCAATGCATAGCCAAAGCCGGAGATGATCTACAGAGTCCAACATTTTCAAGGCAGAACCATTGACTAGAGAACCATAGTTCAGCTTGGAACATACGAGAGCATGATAGATCTTCAGCACAGAACATTGATACGCTCCCCAAGAAGTGGAAGAGAGGACACAGAAGATGTTCAGTGCCAGCATACACTTGATACGAAGCTCTTAATATGAGGAAGTCAGCTTGCAGTCAAACAGAAGCCCCAAAAATTTTGTCTCAGGAACCACGGGAATAACAACACCTTTGAGACGGAGCTCAGGATCAGGGTCTAAAACCCTGTTGGCAGCAAAAATGAATGCAAATGGTTTTAGATAAAGAGAAGGTGAAACTGTTTGCTAAGTTCCACCAGTCTGAAGCTTCTGCTCAATAAACCTCATGTTCAACAACCAAAAATAAATGTCAAAGTCATTGACATCATAGAGAAAGTTGTGTAGTGATAACATTGACCTTGATAGTGAAAAGTTTAACACTCAAGACACAGCCCTGAGGAACTTCAAGTTCCTATGTGAAGGATCGGGACAGGGTCAAAACCATACAGAATTGCAGAATGAAAAACGAAGTACAGGAACAGAATGAGATGGTGACTGCTGTTCAGTATTCCAAATGTGATCACTTTCCTATCGATGAGTCTTTTTAGTTTTTTTGTTTGAGTCACTGGGTGCAGTATCCATAAAAATAGAAAAAATCATTGCCCGCTGACCTCACCCACCATGGAGCCCTATGAGGGGGGACACACTACAATACCAAACATTGACAATGTAGCTACGACAGGATTTCATGGGCACTATACCCAAACACCAGCATTAGACACAATGTCCATAACACCTGTTGAGAACATACAACACTGACACTTAGTTGACCCAATTGACCCTGTGAGATCCACCCCCAAGGCTACCCGTCTACAGGAATTCAAGGCCAGAGTGAAGTGTTAAAGTGTCACTGACATAAACTAACCCATCAATGACACCCCTCAACAACCAGGATCCTCTCCACCCCTTCATCGGATAACATGCATGGCAAATAAATGTGTGGATGTTTGGATCCCAGAGGTAAACTGTAGATACAGAACCTTCCCTGGAAAGTCCCCTCACAAATGATCTTTCGAATGTACTTTTTGATGATTGGGATAGTATTACTGAAGAATTTTTATGGAAATTATGAGAAAGTCATCTATGATGATTTCAAGTGGTTTTGGAAGATAAAGGAGGATGTGAGAAATATTAAGTAATATATGAACCTAACTTGATAACTGTATGAGAAGTATATTTCTTTACTTTTAAAACATTTTCTATCTTATGAGTTCCAAAAACCTATTAGCTACCTAAAAAATTTCATATGGCTCAAAATTTTTACACAGTACTATATTACTACACAGTCACGTTCTACATAGCTGGGCCAGAAACAGTCCATTTAGTTATTATCTTGCTTTAATTAAAGAAGGCAGTATCATAAACAAATATGTTGGATACAAGTGATGTTTTTAGTTATTATTACAAATAATTTCAAATTATAGTGTGTTAAACGTTTTGTCAGTTATAAGTGAGAAAGTACTTTTAAATCAACTTAGAGGAATCACAGTCAATATAATACACTAAATACTGGAGCACACTAATATGCTGGAAAGTAGTCAGCATCTTAACCTTAGGTTTTAAAAGCAAAAGACAAATTAATGAAGTAATAATGCTTGGAGACAGCTTGAATGGGTAATGAAGAAAAACTTTAATATAAGTTTAACATAATAGCAAATGTACAATGTTTCGACAAGGTTTTGTCATCATCATATTGTTTGACTATGTTCAGACGATAGTTGATTATATTTTATGCTTTACAATTATTGATTAATCTTAAATTTTCAAATATAATTTTTGATCTCTTTTCAACTATACTTGGATGTGTTATAAAATCAGAAATTACAAAAACTCATTTACTGGATTGGAACTACAGCACTTCCTAAACTAAGTTTGAAAATACCTCTTAACTCTCTCTGACCTTGTAACCATTTTGTGCTTGTTATAGTTTTAATGCTATAATTTTTAACACAGTAAGCATATCTTCACAAAATTTTGCAGATTATCAGTAAACATTACAAGGTTTTGGTACACAAAATATCAGATTTATTTATTAAGTTTTAAGAATTTTTATGTAATGTTTTTCTTATGCCTTTTTTTCTTTTTGAATGTTGACTATCCAACATGCAAGGTAATTTTGATTTATAATCAAAAATATTTGTATGCATCAGAAAATTTCAAATTTCACATGCAAAATCTCTATAACATCCAGATGATTATCAAACGTTTTTTTTAGAAAACTATATTTTATGTTATTTTCACAAATGTATCTCTGTACGAGTTTGGGCAATTTGACTGATCTCATAACCACCATAAAAAATTAGGAAATAGATATAAATTATGCTTTTTTTGTTCTAGAATGACTACAAATTATAACACAAAAACACAAATGTTTAGTCTAAATAACTTAAATCTCATAACATTATACATCTATATATATATGTATGATTTTTGTTTTATTATCGTTTCAGCCACAGCTGGCTAACATTACAGAAATTGCAATGACATGGCACAACCTAATATATAAAACTGGCCTTAACAAAGTGACCTGTCTTAGCTGCATTCTAGTGGACCAGTATTTTGTAAAATACAGTCACATTTCAGTTCTAATACATTATATATGTATATAAATTTTTACTATTTACAAATAAGTTCTTAAATTTCAGTTATTTTTCTTAAAACATAGAACAGTAAATAAAGAAGTATAGAAAACAATTATCTCTTCTAATTATGAACTTTGTACTAGTTTGCCGTAATTTGCTAATCCTTATCAAATTTTGCATGTGGAGAATGAAAAACAATTTTTTTTCATGTTTTATATATGAATTTTGAAATAACAAAAAATCATAAATTACTATATCAATATCAAGGTATTCCACTATGATTTACCAAGCTTAGTAACTAAGCTGTATTTGGGTCTAAAAAACTATGATTTTTAAAACTCACTAATGTCTTACCTTACCATATGGAATCTAGCATAAAAAGGAAGAGTTTCCCATGCAAATACTATACAGAGGCTGAGAAAACCACTAGGGAGACATTCTGAGCTTTCCATTGGTTATACACGTCACTGGGCAAAACAGGTGTACATAAGCAAATAACTTCAAAAATGGAAGAGGTGGGTGGGGCCACCTTGGTTTATTCAATAAATATATTAATATCTCAGAAAACGAAAAATATAGGAGGTTCTTATTTTATATTCTAGCTTGTTAACATCAGTAATTTGAGTGTGTAATTTGTAAGAAACTACAGACTTTGTATTTGGACATCACAAACTATCTTATTTGAACCAATGCTGCATTGGTTATATACCACGTTATATATATATATATATATATGTATGTGTGTGAAACAGTTTTTTGGTGAATGACCAAATCCTGAGATTAAGTGTAACATAAACATCATTTCCACTATTTTTCAATGAACATTGTCAAAACACTAAATTTACCAATTCTATGTACATATATTGCAATTGTCAAAATTCATTTAATGACACTATTATTTAGCTTGTAAAGCAACTTATCAAACTATAGTCTTGTCTTAAAGGACAAAAACAAGTAAAGTGTTTTATCATCTTAAAGTCTAATTCATTGTTAGTAATTCTCTTCTATTTTTTGGTGTTTTTGAAACAGAACATTGTTGTGATTTTTTATTCCCAACGAATATTTTTATGCAAACTCTCACGTAAATATAGTCCTCTCTTTCAACTGAATGATCAAGAGAACTTTAAAGTAAACCTCAATGTACACATTGCATATCAGTCTGAAAATTTCTTCTACTTCACTTTTAATTCCTGTTTCATTTAAATTTTATTTAAAAACCCTATCTGCACTTTTTATTTTGTTCAATACAGGATATTTAATATTTACTCTTAAAAATTAACTATAAATAAAATCTACAAACAATGTGGATATGCAGTATAGTGTCTTCTGTTTTACTTCCTTTCCTCACATACTAACCCGATCAAGATCGTGTAATGAAGAATGTTGGCGTATTGGAGCATCTGGATCCATCTCATCAATTAACCTGATTGTCAAGGGATCTATTATCCTTTTCTGCTTGTTAAGTAAAGTTTCAAGTGTGTTTTCCCTGTTCAATAAAACAAAACCAAATGTAACAATTAAATATTTTAGTACCACATTAACTAAATGTTATCCAATATATCATTCATGGAAAAGAATTTCCAAAAATTAAAGTAAATTTTAGTTAACTAAACAGACATTTTGTATCTTTAATTGAAAAACACGTGTACTTTTCTATCTATGTTAATAACTATCAAAAACACTTCAGTTAGAATATTCAGGATGAAAATTTAAAAAACCAGAACAATTTAAAAATATATAAAATAGTAGTATTACTTTACAAAGAGTTGATTGATTCTTCAATGCTATTTCTCAAGAACATAAAGTCTGATCTTTCACACAGTCATTAACTACATGTGAAAGAGTGAATTCATTAACCTAGTACATAATATACATGGGGTCTAGTTAAATAACTTTTATCAAAGTGAAACATGAACATACAGAGAAATTAATGTGAATTAATTATTATTACTAAAACCATGTGGCAAGCAGCTAAATATATATATATATATATATATATATATATACAGTCAAGTAAATAGTCAAATAAATCTCACCAAGCTACCCCACTTTCAGAGAAGAACTTTACTTTGTTTTGGTGTTTGTCTTCAAAATCTTCGGCATGATTCTGTTCTAGCCAGTCAACAACAAGCTGGTATGCAAAATAATGTCATATAAGTAGCAACATTCAGAATATGCTTTTTCTTACACAAAATGCATAAAAAAAACATAAAAAGAACTAAAACAACAAAAAAAGCAGATAAAAATGTTTCCTACAATCTTACTAAATAGATTTATTTGATTGATAAAAAAAACAGTTTAAGTTGTCTGTATGTTAACATATGTTCTATAATATCTTCTTTGAAATGTTACTGTTAATGATTCTGATATATTTTTTATCATTCAAATCATGAATAAATGCTCTCATAAACTAGGAAATAGCTTTATTTTTGCTTGGAAACAACATAAATAACAATTTACTTTAAATAGATCAATTGCACAAGAGTTCATATCTTATTAAGAAAAAAATAGTTTTTAAGTTTTACATATTTCTTTATGATTAATTTTACATTAGGAAAAAAAACTTAAATAACTTGAGGACAATACTTTTTAACGGGTAAGTACAAAAACAGCAGTGGTAAAGTAGTGTGCAAAATGGGGGAAAAAAGAAAACATACATACACAAAGAAAATTAAATTAATTTAAAAAAAGGAATTATGATCTACTGGAAAGGTGAAATATTACCACAGTTTGATAATGTAATCAACACTCCCAGGTACTTCACATAAAAAACATTCAGATCTACGGATAAAACATGGCAAACTGTTATAACTTTCAAGAAATATCATAAATCCTCAGTGACTTTATATAGTATATCCAATGGTGAGGCCAGAGCAATGTGCTTTCCATGAATCTAGAAACATTTGAATATATGGGATATGCAAATTGTACATTACTACAAACATGCTTGAAATTGTTTTATTTAGTGTAATGTTCAACAACATTGGAATTTTGTGGAATAGTGAAAATCACTTCATCTGGTTTTCAGTCTGCAGTTTGGCAGTGAACCATTAGATCATAATGGGACAGGTGTACGTTGCATTTTATGTCTTGACCAAACAACCTTACCTCTAGTGTCCATGCACCTAATTACCATGGATATCAAGAAATTTTAAATTAACATATTTCAACAAATCACAAATGACCCACATCTGGTTTAAAATTCATAAAGTTTTAAATTAGTCTCCCAAAATTTTGATGAGATTTAAACCCAGCTTTTGAAACAACAATGAAAACAAACTGCATGAAACACCTCTCTCTCAGCATTACTGAGATCATGTCTTTTAGAACAACCAGCATTTATTAAAGACATGGGAAGTGCTACACCAGATAAGAACAAAATCATTACTCTCTCCCCATCCTTCTCCATGAAACACTTGTCTACATAATTTATGTGAGGCAGTTCCTATTCTATGTTTGCATAATTCTTTTACCTTTAAAATTAGGAACTTTACACGTTTGATTTCAAAAATAATCAATGTCAATTATCATAATTTCCAACTATTTACATATCAAAACAACTCCAATTATTTTCAGTATCATCTAATAATGAAATACCTTCAAAATCTGGTTATAATTTACTGAAGAAGCTTTTGCAATTAATCTAATAATTGTTGGATTACTTGACTGTCACACTCTAACTCAACAAAGTATCTATTTTTCTTTGTTTAATTCAAGAACTTTAATTTTTTATGCATTATAAAATAATGGGCCCAATATTTATGATAAAATGTGTTTTTTTTCAGACTTCTTACTTCATCCATTAAGGATACCAAATCAAAGGTGTGTACAAACAGCATTTCAGTCTATCTTTTGTCTCTAACAAATCAATGCCCAGGAAGTTTTTTGTTTAATACTAGACTCATCAGCAGTCTTAATAGAAGTTTTGTCATAAATATTAGTTCTATTGTATTAAAGTGCTTTACCAACTTTTAGCATTTAAAACAAAACACACATTACAATTTCACCTTCTTTCCTGTCTTTGCTGTAAATGTTCCAAACTACAGAGATGTTTCAAAAATAGTTAACCCTACAATTACCAATAGGATCAGCTTTTTAACACATTTTCTTACACTATTTATCCACCAAACCGCCTGTGGGTTCTTAAGTTTTTTTTTATCACAGGATCCTTATTTACATGGGAAAAAAAATAGTTAACAAAAATACCATAGCTATTGCTATTAATTGTACAAGACATTACAGGGGGTTTCCTATAAATTTTGTTACAAAAATGTGTGATTTCAGTCAATATTTCTGATCGTTCTTTAAAATGAATGCTCTAACAGGCACAAAACATAAAATTACTGAATATGATGCAATAACTGGACCCCATTAATAACAAACAGTGTAAAAACAAGTTGATAATTTGAAGGTTAATACTTGTCATGCACTATCTTAAGTCAATAAAGTTCCTACTAACAAATCTAGTTTATATATATAAATAAAAAAAAAATTGAAGTTTAATGGAACTAATGGATCAAACTAATAAACATATTACATATATGTGTGTATTAGTCATACACTTATTTATCGAGATTGAAAAATGGTATTTTCCAAACTTGCAAATGTACAATAAGTATCATAACATATATATAATAATTTTATCATTTTACAGGCACATAAATGGGACATATGCAACTCTACAGAAAATTGGCTTGGGGTTTAGGGACTGTCAAAACATACCCTACAACCCCTCACCACAAAATTCTCTCAAATCTGCATCAATTTAGTCAATTGAAACTAGGTTCATAATCTCTTGGAATCAATGACAGCTGTAGCATTTTCATAAAAACTTAAAGTATACAACTACAGAAAGAATAAAAAACATCATAAGAAAAATTCAAATAATTTTATTTTTTTCCCTTTTGATTTCTTAATTTATTGTTTGAATAACATCAAACATTTACATCATACAAAAATAAAACTGCTGGTAAATAACTAGAATATTTATCAAAATAACCACCTCACCTTGCCTAATTTAAGACATCAGATACAACTGAATTTAGTGAATTAGTGTAGGCAAATGTGAAATTGGTTATAAAGTGGATGCCCCAGGTTTGGAAGCTTCCAACTACATACGAGCCACATTTTGTGATGGAATCCAATATGGAAATGAGTGAAGAAAGAAAGGATATATATATTTATGCCAACTCAAAGGTGTTACTTAAACTTGTGTTTACTGAGTTAACTAACCATAGTAACACACCAAATTTTTATAGTGAGTCAAACTTACCTAAACATTATTTTACTTGTTGTATTTTTATTTATATATCTTTGTCTATTTTTAACACGATAAGTTTATTCTTTATTATCCATATAGTATTTCCTGCATTCTTTGATTGGTGAGAAGTTAAAAAAAGGATGGCAATATGTCTAGAAAATAAATTATCCTGATCAAATTCTTCAGCACTTATTGCAGCAAATGCCTTTTGGTTTCTAAACACAGAAACTAGCTTCATTGAAAAGTAATAATGTGAGATGGGAGCAGGATTGCTAACCATCCATAAATATACTGACTGCGAGTTAAATAAGTCACATTTACACTGTCAACAAACCTGTTTAATTACATCAGTAAAAGAAATTCAGTGTCAGTGAAGATAGCCCACAGTTTGTCTTTCTGTTAGTAAAACAAAATTGTGAAGTTGGAAACACTGCTTAATAAACTTGCCCTGTCTTTAGATACCTTTATGTTTTTTTTAAAATATTAATGGTGGGCCAGGCCTTTTTGGTTTGCTTCCTGTGATAGTATTGCTTAACAATTATAATGAAGTATCTAAGACAGGCTATGTTTATGAATAATTTATATTTTTAATGACATTTTTGTATTTTACTGATAGAAATATATTATATGCCATATCTAAAGAATTCATTAATGCATGACATTAGTTACTGAAGATAATGTACAAAATAATATTTCAAATGTATTTTATTACAGTATGCTCGGTAGTTTTGTATATAAATACAATGGTAAAATAATAGCTTTGCAGGAATACTTGTTACTATTTGAAAGTCCAAGTTTTTATTGATTCTTTTTGATATCTGTCCAGATAATAAGATATATGTGTAGGTGGGGCTGACTCTCTGTATTATTGACACACTTTAGGCATGTGTTTGATTGTGCAGCCTGGTCTTGGAAATCTAACAAAAAATTAAATACTTGCATCACATCTGCATTTAGTCTATATACTGCATTTTATGCTTATTACTTTGCCCAGAAATAATGAAAACTTGTCCAACAACAATAAGGTCTACTTGTACACAAAAAGTTCATTTAAAAAATTAATTAAATTAATTCATGTAAGCATATTAAGTGAAGTATGTCTAACAGGTAAAGTAGATGCAGGAGGGGCTATCAAAAACGTGCAATGTTCACTTCAAGCTAATCCTTATACTACCAATATATATTAGATAGTGTATGCATAATGGATGCTGGTTATTTCAGTTATGCTATGACAAAAAACACACTAGATTACATAAAACAATATTTAATATTTAAAATATAATTAAATTTATACTTGCCAAGTGACATGCTGAGAAAATTTATACAATAAGCCCTATGTTTAACTTGTTTTGATATCAACTGGGGTGGAAAAAAGGAGGGATCATTCACAATCCTTAAATAAGAATAATTATTTTGTTCTATATATTGAGCTTGTGGATGTGTTCCTAATAAATTAAAAACCAACAAGACAGGATTTAATGTTATATTAAATTATACTAGAAACAAATTACAACTATTTAAAAATATATAACAAACACATAATAACCTACTAACTATACAAAGTGTTATAATGAGTCAATCTTACTTGTTCAACAAATTCAATCAATCACTCATTTATAACCATCTCAAGCTAAATACAAAAAAAAGTAAACCAATTCTCTCAATATATTCAGCATTTCCATAAGAAAATAATTTAGAAGTCGTTTGAAAATCAGGGTAAATGTCACAAGAATGCCCAACTTCCCCTATGCATTCTGAACAATTTATAAAACCAGTAATGGGTAAGCAATCTTTTCCTTAATCCATGATGACAACTAAGAGTTACTATTAATGATTTATTTACTAAATGGTCCAAAACAGCAGATTATAAAACCTTAAGCTAGTACTTTCAATCACTGACTTAATGAACTTCTGTTTTATTATAACAGAAAAAACAGTACAGGCTTTACAACTGAACTTCAAAAATTCATCTATTTGTTTTCTCAAATTTACACTGAACTTACAAACTTGAATTATATATATACATGACATCAACTCCTTCATAATAAATATATAGAAACTAAAAAAATAATTACAAGTATAATGCAGCTTTGTAATTAAAAACTCAAATAGTTGCTTAATATCAATCATTCTTTGAAATTTCAATTTTTAAAAGAAATAGATAATTTTTTTATTAACTGAAGTGCTAGCAGTGAACTATATTTAATAGAAATTCTGATTAAGGATTATTTTCACCATTTCATGGTTTCCAATGCTTTGAATTAGAGAGAATTTTAACAAATACCTACCTACCTTTAAGAACAAAATGGTAGTGCTTAACGTTCTACATGAGCATGAGTCATGTCACTACTTATGTATTAGCTAAAGCATGGAAGAATGCTCCCTAATAAATACTCTCATAGAAACATGGGATATTACAACTGTGTAGGAAAGAAATAACATTTATGTTCATAAATCTTAGAAAGGTTATGAATGCTTTAATGTACACATTTCCTCAAAACATATGCATACAATTTTCATAGCTGTATAAATTAAAAATATGACGTGCTAAAGCTGATGACTTACTTGACACTGCCGAATAAAAGAATCCCTCTCATATAAATTATCAATAATTTGACGATCGCTTAGGTGCCTTCCCTAAAATCAAGAGACAATTACTTATTTAAAAATAAAAATATCAACACACATTTAATGCAATACTGAAGAAACATAACTCTAGTTTAGTGATAAAGTTCATAGAAGAATCAAATGCTTTCATACTTTTCAATCTGCCAATTTAGAATAAAGTGTATTATGGTTATACAATCTTCATCATAAAAAAAAAATACACAAGCTCAAAAGAAGATTACCTAATGAATTCTTACACAATAATTTCATTTTCTATACAAATATTTTTGTTGTATTGTAGATTTTCTGTATGTGTCTAGGTTTACAAATCTAGATGTTAACTAAAAATAAAATACTGAATCAGTAAGGAACTGAAGGAAAATATGAGACATATATTTCCTGAATAAAATAAATAGCCATCTCTTATGGCAAAGGTAAAAATGAATGATTTTGGTCTTAATTTTTAAACAAATGGAGAAATCACTGTCTTAGAATTTTTTTAAATTACAGGATTAGCCACTAAAAACAACTTAATTACTTTTAAAATTACCATTCTGAAATGACAGTGATTTTGAGCAATTATTTTAACAAGCACAAAAACTTCAATTTAGATGTTTTATGATTTTTAAAAACTATGGAAAATTTCAAATTAAATCCTACCAATGTATCCATCAAAACCATATCTGGATCTTTTACAGACTCTGTCTGAAGCCGATCTTGATACAGAGTGCGAACTAAGCGCCAGGAATTTCTTTCTAGTTCTAAAAGATTTAATACTCTTATTGTGTTCATAAATCTGAAAAAAAAGTAAAAGTTTTATAATATTATTGTTACTATGTCAATTTTATATTTTCAAGAACTCCAACTGACAGTTTTTATGAACAAACGTACAGGTTCATCAAATATTTTAGTTTCTATTCTTCATGATATATTAAAACCTCATTATTCAGCACTCAGATGTGAAAAACATGATTTTGAATTGTTGTAAGCTATTACACTAAAGACAGAGGAAGAAAATATATGTACTTATAATAAACATAATACAGTTCCTTTACATCAAAGAACAAAAAAAACCTTGGAATACATTCTTGTGAAAATGTTGATGACATTGTAGCTCAATAAAATAAAAAATAGCAGGACAGTACACTTAGCAAAGAAGGTATGTTGATCGGCAGGATTCACATTTTATCAAGTAATGGGCTTACCTTTGGTGATATTACAACTAGTAACACATGTGCCATCAGCTTTTTCTTGTGTACCTTTCTTGAAAATGAGTTACTTTTTTGCAAAGCAGATTGAAGTATAGCAAGATTTCAGACTACACCTCTCAGGAATGTTCCAAAATATCCCAAAGTAATTGTATTAAACCAAGGATGTGCTATGAATAAGGCAGACTCTAGATGTTAATTGTCTCAAACCACTTATAGACACTGTGAAAGTTATGGCTTAATCAATTATCCTGATCCTTAGAATTTCATAAATGTATATAGTTGTCTAGAATGTCACAATACAACATAACACTCAAAGCTTCCACATCTACAATTTTGTCATTGTTTTTCTAAAGTTGTAAACAACTGGCTGCAGCCCTTCCATGAAATCCAACACAACATAGAGTTCTCTACATACAATGGGTGCACTGGTCTATTTATTCAAATCATGGATTTACTGCCAGATTGGTGATTTAATTTCACAGCACACTTAAAGTTTACTTGGCAGAGAAATTGTCAGTTTTGGGTAGCAGAGCCAATAATCCACATATTCAGTAATCTTCTACATCTTCAGTGCATCATCTAGAGTCTAAGACAGTGAAACTATCGATGCAAAAATTCCAGTATCATTTCTCTGTGAAGAACCTGTGAGCTCCTTTTCTCATAGCATTTTCACTCATATTGGTTGTCTGTTACTGACCCTCATACAGCTTACATAAAATACATGGAATTTAAGTGTGTACAGACCCATTACTATCTGGGGAAATTTTCCCAAAATTACTAATGGTATATTGTACATATGTAATAAAGTTTAACTTTAAAGTTTTTATTTTCCAACCTTTTCATTTAGAAGAACTGTGATAACTTTGATATAAATGTTCTTTGTCACAGTTGTGAACTGTCCATCCATAAAGAGTTAAGAAAATAGTTTTTTAACCTCCAGAAAAATGTCATTCTTTATATCCCTTAATTATATCCTAGTATCTCGATTATAAACTTATGACTTTTGTAATTTTTACAAAAGTCTAATGATTTTTGTAATTGGAATAAATTATGCCTAAATTCTCTGATTTTAAACTACACTATAATAAACTCTCAACAATAAAACAAATTACAAAACAGATTTTCTTTAACGATGCAATTTCTGTAATTATATTATGTTTTAAGTTTATTTTATTACAGAGCAGGTGACTATTAACATTTATTATTGAGTTTTTTCAATGTCGATAATTGGATAGTTTTTTAATTCAAAGTTATCTGTCATTTGTTGTTTAAAGATTTTAATCACTTGAAAACAGATATTTTATTTACAAATGTGGTGCAAGATTATATTATATCCATTATGCAACAACTAATGTCCTAACTGTAACAAGAGTTTTAATCTATCTAAATATGAACACATTTCATAATTTTAGGACAGTGTAACAAGGGACAAAACATTTATTTACAGGCACTATTGTCTGATACACTTACATTTTCCTATTACATGTGAAAAAAATTATTACTAAAACTCCAGAAATGTAGTAGAATATTGAGAAGTGGACTCTTTTTCTTTTCAAGGGAATATTCATACATAAAGCTTACTCTGACTAATAATTTGAACAAAAAATATTAAAAACTACACCTAAGCCATTTTCTTAGTGACATTGAAACAAAAAGAAATAGCTTACTTGTTTTGAGAAGGTACAACTTTCTTGACCACTTTTCTCAGCATTACTAACTGCTCTGAACATAGCTTATAAAAAACAAAAAAGAAACATTATCACCACCAGGCTTTCTTCTTTTTTGACATGAAGGAAGAATAATAAAATGTTAGTGAATTCATTTGTTAAATTGAGTTATGTATAACACAAAGTTATCCTGGTTTTATTGCTGATAAGAAATATTGAGTTACTTTGAAGTACTATAAGAGAAAACACATCATCACAATCCCAGTGCCAAATATATATATATATGAGAATCAATGAATAACAAGACAAATACAGCTCCATAAATAAGCATTCAGTCTCCATATTTATTTACAATGTATGAGAAAAAAGGAACTGTATACACCTATAGCTTCTTAAAGAAGTTTCATGCAAGCTTAAAACAATAAATTCCCTTCTACAGAAAGTTATTTCATGAACTATTAATCTGAAATACAAGGTATTTACAGAATGCAAGAAAAATTCAATATCTTTCTTCAATGACTAAAAGAAATGTTTTTAAAATTTTTTCATTAGAGTAACTTTTACTAATCCAGCTACATTAGAAAAATTAAATTAAATATATACGTATTGGGACTGGAAAAAGTCAGCAGGAATACATTATACAAGCATTTTCTAATCAGATAAATGATAATGAAAACATTTTGCTCAAAATAAACTATGAATTTGAAATTTTTAAAAAATAATGCTGCTTTACAACACCATAAGCCACAATTTCCAGAAACAATCACTGGTTTACCAGACAGCCCAGTATAATTTCAGTCAACTTTAATTGTAACATAACTGGATACAAACCTTTGTCAGACAATCATTCAATGCAAGGTTAGTTGAGCTTAAATGTCATTACAAAATTTATTTGTTTCTAAGAATTTCCTTTTCCTAAAGAAGTATTTATTTGCTTTTTGTCAGATGATTCAGCTCTGACAAAACTCTATATGATATCATACTAAATTGTCCCTGATGTTTGTGAACAACATACTGTGATAAAAAACCTCTATGAGAGACTTCAAGTAAGATAAATCTACCAAAGTACACTTCACTGAAGCCCTTAATAAACATATATTATTTCTTTACATTTATATGTTCCTTGTGTTCATTTTATTCTCTGAATTACATTTCTAAAACTGGACTTTTTATGGATACTTGACTTTCATCTTGGGGACTCCAGTGTATCTGAATATTACAGACAATAGAGGTTGAGTATATTATATAAAAACGATTTTGGAGCCTTACCACATCACTGCAATCCTTGTCACTAATTCTGGTCATGCTCTATGTCATGAGTGTGCATAGTGGAAATAGACCTGAAGAATAGTTTCCATTGCAAAAGGTTCTGTTAGAAAGCTGTCATGCTTAAAGCACACCACTCCTCCCAGGGAGAGTTGCATATAAAACCAAGCATACGAAAACAATGGTTTTCAGTTCCCATTTCAACAGTCCAATCACATAGTAACCTCTATAGCAGCTTGTCTTTGTATGTAATAGCATAAATACCAGTTTCATTCTCCAGCTGCTTAAGGTATGCAACAATTGAATGGATACGCTGTAGAAGAAACTTGTATGCACAACCTGTGTCGCTTTTCCAGAAAGAAATCCTTCTTATTTAACTGCATACTATTGCTTGGAGCACATGGACAGCTTTTTCCACAGACCTTTACATTTGTAGTTTATCATCTGTTGTGGTTTATCCATATAAAATGAAATTAACCCAAGTTACACCAGATAGGTCTGCTCAAATAACTGGAGCTTCAATCAAGATATCTCTTGCAGACTAGACTGATGTCATATAAACAAAATAAATATTGACTCAAAAGTGAAATGTAAAATGCAATATCTTTATTATATGATGTAACACAAACACAATGTGTGTACCTGCTTTAATGTATAAAACATGTTGGACCATTTCCATTATACTGATTCTTCCTTTAATCTATTATAGCAAACTCTTGAATCAAACCATTTGAAATGGAGACCCAATTTCAGAATAGACTATGTTATTAAAGACAAAGTTCCAGATTGTTTAATCCTATCGACAAGGGTCACGAGTCAGATGCCATGTCATCATGTTTGTTGACTCGCATTCAAAATCTGATTGAACTACTATTTTATGAATTTATGTCAATACATTTGGTATCAAATTGTACATTATAATTCACATTTTAGTATTATACATTAGTTAATTTCTTAACTTAAAAGTAAATATAAACAACACCCCTAAATATCGATTTTTGTGTCACGTGGTATGTTGAATGCAGCATTAGTTCAAATTAGATGTTTGTGAAGTCCAAATACAAAGTCTATAGTTTCTTACGAATTAGATACTCAAATTACCAATATTGATAAGCTAGAATAAAAAAGAACCTCCTATTTTTTCTATTTTCTCAGATATTAATATATTTATTGAATCAACCAAGATGACCCCACCCACCTCTTCAATTTTTGAAAATACTTGCTTATGTACACCTACTATACCAATCAAAGCCCAGAATGTACCCCTAGTGGCTTTCTCAGCCACTATGAAGTATTTAGGCAGCAAACTCGTTCTTTTCATGCTAGATTCCAAGTGGTAAGGTAAGTCATTAGTGAGCTCGAAATTTCATATTCTTTAAAACCCAAATACAGCTTAATTAATAAGCTTGATATATTAAACTTGAATTCTGTGTTATTGATATAGAAATCTATAATTTTTGGTTATTTCAAAATGTATATATATAAAACCTAAAAAAATTTACTATGTTTCACATCCTTCACATGCAAAATTTGATAAGGCTTAGCAATTTATAGCAAGCAGCAAATATGTACAAAGTTCATAACTAGAAGAAACAATTGTTTGCTATACTTCTATATTTGTTGTCCTACATTTTAAGAAAAATAACTGAAATTTAAGAACTTGTTTGTAAATAGTAATAATGTATATGCATGTATAATGTATTATAACTGAAATGTGACTGTATTTTACAGAATACTGGTCCACTAGAACACAACTAAGACAGGTCACTTTGTAAAGGCCAGTTGTATATTTTAGATAAGTAACATGAGTGCAAGTGCACCACATCATTGCAACTTCTGTAATGTTAGCCAGGCACAGCTAAGAGGTTAATATAATAAAAATAATAAATATATATAATGTGTAATTTTATTAGATTTAAGCTATTTAGACTAAACATTTGTGTTTCCATTATAATTTGTAGTCATTCTAGAATGAAAAAAGCATAATTTATATTTATTTCCTAATTTATATGGTGGTTATGAAGTCAGTCAAATCGACCAAACCAGTACAGAGATACAATAGTGAAAATAACAGATAAATTATAGTTTTTTCTTAAAAAATGCTTGATAATTATCTGGAGGTTATAAAGATTTCGCATGTAATATTTGAAAATTTTCTGATGCATAAAAGCATTTTTAATCTTAAAGTCAAAATTACCTTGCATGTTGGATAGTCAACATTTAAAAAGAAAAACACATGAGAAATCATTGCTTAAAAAAATCTTAAACTTAAGCCTTTTAATGTTTATTGATAATCTGCAAAATTTTGTGAAGATATGTTTACTAATTTAAAAGTTATAGCATAAAAGCTATAACAAACACAAAATGGTTATGAGGTTGGTCTGTGGAACTAAGCCCATGATGAAAGAGTTTAATGCCACATTTCTTAGCTTCTAGTCAATCTACCAATGTGAATGATTATGGTGGGGCCATTACCTCTACACATCACCTAAACAACTGTTGAAAGCCAATGCTGTCAACATTTTTACACATATCATATTAAGTAACATTCTCTCTGGGTAGTAAAAGGTATTACCTACTGTTGAAAACACCAAATATAAAAAAAACAAAGCCAACTTCACGATGTTTTTTACCACGTTAAGTGAAACTTGCACATATTCAGAACAAAAAAATGAATACAGAATACACTTTATACTTCTACAGGAAGATAGAAACACATGATATATTCAAATACCACACTGTTACAAAATGTCATAATTTTCTTACCATGACCAGAGTAGGTCTTTTTCTTGATGGTCTTGGTTACCCAAGTAGATCAATATTTCTCTATTTTTTAATGTCATCAAGTTAAAGAGCTATCTCTGTCTTACAAATTCTAAATCCCCAATCTGAATACCTCTTTATGATCTAATCATATTAATATTTTACTTTGGAAAAGGCTGTTATGCCCCCTTCCCAAAGCACTCAAATTTTCAGTGGCATCACACTACCTACAAAATGTCAAAATGTAGTTCTTATCCATTCCATTGTGACTTTATATAAGCTGTCCTTGTTAAATGACTAGCTGATTTGCATATTCAAAATCACTTTAATATAATATACTTAACCTTCTGTAGTTATTAAGTTACAAGTTGGTACTGTAATTAAAGAATCTGTTTATTGCAGAGTCTATTTTGAATGTGCTTCTTTTTCTTTGTGATTCTCTAGTACTGTAAAGTATGGAAAAAGAAAATGATATTGAAGGACACTTATAAGACCACATAGAAATAATGGTGGAAAGAAGGAAGATTCAGTTGTGAAAAGCACAGGATTTGATAATATCTCAAGAACAATGAGAAGCACTCACTTAGACCAATAACTTTTGCCTTCAATTGTTATGTCTACGCTCTCAATCTCTATCCAAGGACAAGCTGTTGAAAGGTAGCTGGAAGAAATACCAGCTGAAATTTTGCAGAAATTTCAAGTATACAGAAAGCAAAAGATTAGCAATGGTGACAGCATCTTGTAGTGACAGAACCAACATAAGAAAAAAAAGTTTTATGAAAGTAACCTGCACCACCTGTTCAAACATATAAAAGTAAGTCCATAACTATGACCATTTGGATTTCAGTTCCAAGCTGGAATGACCATCAACATTATAACATAGACAAAAATGATATAAAGAAACCAAGCAGCTGATGTCACAGCCACTGAACTGCATCTGAGAGCAAGCAGGCAGCTTCCACAGAACCTGAAGTATCTAGTTAAGGATAGTGTTTAATAACATGAACAATGACACAGACAGGAACTCAGTGAATTCTTCAAGAAATTTTACTAATGTGTTTGTGGGATGAGATAACCAATTAGATGTAATTCATGTACATTTACTATCAGTTAGCTACAACACAAGTGGAAGAACCTTAACCCTATCGGCACAGGTACCCTTTACTGCG